ACGTTAACAAAGGAAACATTAAAAGGTACTAAATACTTGTACCTGCATACAGGCTGTCAAAATGGATCCCAGGTTTGCAGACCTAGAGGCAGGGGAAATACAATACCTGATCACGAGCTGTGGGAAACCTGTGACAGTGTAAAGAGAAACTCATTGGTGCTTAATGAATTTCAGATAAAGGAAGTCATAAGATGTAAATTTTTGTCAAGGACAGCTGATTAATCTTCTTATTTTATTCTCCTAACCTATATTAAAAATATTACCCACAGCTCTGTTTTGCAGCAATAAGGATCCTTATTTCTGGCAGAAGTTAAATTAAATTAATTCTTCTGGACGTGAAAGGCCATGTGGGTCAGATAGAATTTTGAGACTCCAAAGGAACCATGAAAAAATGCACAGGCTATCTGCCTGCTGTCACACAGCACTAGCTGGAACTCTCTAGGTGATCAGTAAATGAACGCCTGTCATCAGTTAGTCGAGGATGCTTCTATTGTAATGCGGATTTGCTTATATTGAATTAGTATCACAGGTAGAGATTATGCAGAAAGATATCTAAAACTTTTTTACTAGAACTCCATTGCCCTTATGTATCATTTACCTCCTCATGTTGTGGCAGTTTGGTATCAGTCTTTTGAATGCATGCTGGAAGGGGTCATTTTATGTATGAATATAAAAGATCCTGAAAATTCTACCAAAAAAACGTGCTTTAGGCAAAGACCACCAACTTTTGTCTGGCATGTCTAGTGTAACTTATTTAAATAAACTAGTCCTTCAAGGTTTGTTTTTTTTTTTTTTTAACCACAGTAACAGTTGTTTGAGAATAGAAAAAATCCACCTGAATGAGGTAGTGAGGTCAAAGGGCTTAGCTGTTGCATATCATCACTACGAATAGTAAGGTAAATGCAGAATGAAGTAAAGAAAAAACTTAGTTGCAATTCTTAAGACAACCCTCTGTATCTCTTATGTGAAGAAACATTACAGTGGCTCTAAAATGTTGTAAACTAAGATCATGGTGTAAATCAATGCCCTAGCATTGTAATAAAGTGGTTTACTTGACCTGATAGATATTCTGTGGTTTGAAACAACAAAAAAAAATTGATTTTTTTAAAGCTTTTTATGATCTTTCTTTGCTTCTTTTTCAATAAGAAATTTATATATTAAACTACTTTTATTAACTTTATTAATCTTTTTAACAAATCTGCTGCATTCCAGTGTTCACCTTTTAAAGCTACAAGATGATTCTAAAATAATTGTAATGAAATTAGTTACATCAGAGATGCTAGCCATTGGAAAGCTTTCCACCACTCATATACCAAATGAGAGTTACCAGTTAATGTATCTTCTATAACTATCTGCTGTCATACCTGGCTTCAACTTTATGTGGGCTATTAACTCGTTTTAGTTACAAAAAGAGATTGCAATGTATATTACACTAATTTCTGAAGCTGATATGCTAGTTATGTTCTAGTGTTAGGTTATAAATATCTACTTCATTGTAATAGCTTTTTGTGTTGTCCTTGTATAAAACTTATGCACCCCGTGGCCTGGAGCTGTGCAAGTAGTGCTCCAAGGTGCATGCCCCTTTTAATAATGTTCTATATCAGCACGTACAGCAAGCAGAAAACAAACCACTCAGCTTTATCTGTGTTTCTCTGCAGGTTGTGCATGGAGAACCAGATTTAGGAACACAGTCTTATGTTTTTGAAACATAAGACAAGTTACTTGACTCTCTGCTACCTGACATAATGTATAAATTCTTTATATTTTAAATATTGCTTTTCACCTCTCGGGGATGAATGAAGAACTAAAGCTGGTTTGGAGTTGTATCTATTGTTGCATATATCATAGACTATACAAGGAAACCACTTGGAAGAACAGCAGCCATTTGAATATGTGGAAGTTCAAAGCAAAAATTATGCTTTTATCCACACCAACAAAATCTTTGAGAGTGAAAATATACTCTTCAAGGTTCGTGTGCTTGTCCTCTTTTGGTTGCTTAGCAAAAGGTAGTTCTGGCTTCACTGGAATAATTTTGCTGTCGTTCCATACTCACCACTTCTTTAGACCCTGCCATAATATAAGGGAAAAATGCTACAGTGCCTCACCTGCTAGTCTTCCCCGGCTGACGGATTGCCTGTTGCATGTGGCTTTTTAATATCACTGCAGTAGCCTGATCCAGTAGCCATATCAGTTTCTCTTACACGTCTATTCCAGAGTATTATAATTTAACTACCATGCCTTTCTTCATTTTCATATTAGCACCATCAGATTTCTTTTCTTTACCCTGTGCTGCCTAACACTTGCCTAACTTTCCTGTCGGTACTTGAGAATCTCGCAGTTCTGCGCTCACAGAGCTTGCATAACTGCACTCTGCACCAGGCTGTTTTACTGAGTTAGCTTTGACGACATGGTTTGTGCATTACTGATGTGTTGGTGTGGTTTTGACTCTTGTTTGCCTTAAGGTATTGCTGAATAGGGAGCTAGTGTGAGGACAGTCCAGCCAGTGAATCTAATGCATTAGTGCTGGTGGATAGGACCTATATTTGATTGGAGTAAGTGAAGAGTAACAGGCAGGAAGTCTGGGGGAGGAACTGAGGAGGAATGCACTGAAATGAACTTGGTGCTTGCCAAGGACTCAGAGTGGCAGTCTGAAAACCAAATATCCTGTTCTTTTTTCAAACAAAAATGTTCCTGTGAGCCTCATATTTTTTTATCTCATTTATTTCATCTCTTTTAAAAGGCGGCCTGTGTAGATTAATTAGGAATTGTTTTCAAAAAGCTGTTTGAATATGAAAAGAAGTGATTTATTATTATTTGGTCCTGTGAGCAAAAAAGAACTATACCAATTTGTACTGGAAGAATAAGAAAGTCAGTCATGGTCCACTTGGGTTCTTTTTAAGGCATTCTTGGACAAAGGTGTAAGGTTCTGTTTCTCTGGGTCAAAAAATCACTTGGTATGTAAACACTCAAAACTTGCAGCTACAGAAAAGGACTCTCAAGTTGGGTTTTCATTTTATGGCCCCAGTTATGACTTTAAACCTGGATATTATTTGACAATGATATCTATTACTCTGATTTACAGTGGTTCTATTTCTCCTGTGTTTCGTTTCTTGCTCTGTTGAAGGAATCAGAAAACTCTCTCCCCTGGCAGACACACGCACCCACTAGTGCACTCACATATGCGAAAGGATGCCATACAAACAAACTTCACCGCTTTTAGTGAAACTTTGGCTGTTTCTCTCTTTTGATAGCTTCTAGCACCAAACACGCCCCAGGAAATCTAGCTTTTTAACATGTGCCAGAAAGCAGCAGTGGTAACCTCCAGCGAATTCCCTAGGCCAAAGAGGGTTTTCAGACGTGACTTGACAGACCCTTCCCTTCAAGCAATTAGACTGTTTGCTCCTCATGCTTTTCCCTTTTCTGGGATTGAGAGAATGCCAAGAGATTGAAGTCCTCTCTTGTTTCCCTCACATTTTTCCCAAAATTTCAGTGCAAGAGCACATTGTATTCTCTGATTTATTTCCTTCCATCTCGGTTGGCAATGAAGCCTAAACGATGTTTCTAAGCCACACAGTTACTTCTGTAATGGGTGTTCACCTCATTCTTGATGCATTCTCAAAGCACTGCACTATTAGCTTGCCATTCTTCCATGCTACTTGAGACATGGAGTTTTAGTTGGATAACAGCTCTTCTCCCCTTTTAACAAGACAAGTTTCTCACAGTTTCAGATTTTCATGCAACAGATTTCACAGTTGCTTTGGCAATTACTGAAGTTTAAAGAAAAATTACTTTTTACATTCTTTGCTTTTAAAACAACAGCTGAGTTTTACTGGTGTTATTCATGTTTTCAGATATTTTCTTCCGTGAGTGTGTACGAACCTAAAAAAAACACAAACCCACCCATGCCCAAAAGAAAAAAACCCAACCCCCCAAGACTTTCATAGACATGCAACACTAGGAACTTGTTTTAAAGTGGAAAAAAACCAACCTAAGTGTAAAAAATGTAAGCTTAGGAGTAGACATTTCTGCCTATCTCACATAAAGTGGTTTCTCATGAGATTGCTTGGATGTGAATCAGTCAATGAAAATGTATCAGGAATCTTTTTACAAACCTCCAGCCTCATTAGACTGGCTGTAATGCAGCCCTTCTCCCTGAACCACGTCCCATCTGTCTTTCTAAGTGATCCATGGCTGCATTTCAGGTTTTGCCAATCACTGTGGCATTAGCAAGCCATGCCATGTTAACTTGTTCGTTTGGAGGAATATTTACACTGAGATGAAATCTGATGTGGACTTCTAATACATGAAAGGGTGGGTGGGGAAAGAAAGACAAGTGTCCATCAAGGAAAATGTCTTTGAAATAAAATCTGACCGTGTTTCTTCTGGAAATGGGAGACACGGAGAGTCTTGTACTGCAGATGTGCATAAATGAGCTTAGGTTCCGGTAGTGATCTAGTTTGGGGATCATTGATTTCACAGTGGACTTACAAGTCCTGTTCCTCGACTGTGAGCTGTGTGCTGCAGCAGCTGGGTGATTACTAAAATGGGAAGGTACAGCTGGAGTCTTGTACGCTTACTAGAAGTAATTTTTTTTATTCTTGTGAAGGAAAGGAGAATAAGTCTGTATGCAAGAATATTTTTTTTCTAAATTTATTATTTGACATGCTAAGTAGTTAACTACATAAAAAGTACAACTAGCAAGAAGGCCAGGAATTTCTTCAGACCCTAACAAACAGCAAATAAAATGTTTCCCTGAGTGTGTGTAATCGTTTGTCTGAGTCTCCTCTCACTATTTCAAGCAATGAAGAAATTCACAGAATCGCTTAATTTACTTTTTTTTTAACCCATTTAATATGCACTAGTATTATGTACTACAAATTTAAAACCTAATATGTCTTATTTAAGAGGCAAAAGTAAATAAAGTATTTCAGAATGCTTTCCCAAGCTCATTAGTCACTGATTTGACTTTTTTTTTTTTTCTTTTTTCTCCTCCTCACCAGGAATCTTTAAGGACTGGAAAACTCAGTGGATCATGTTTTTAAAATCTAAGCGATTTTTACGTTGACTGTGCTGTAAACACATGGAGGAGCTGTAAGTAAATGTTCTCTATTGCATGATGAATTGGATTGCTACGGTCTGGAGGAAAGTAAAATAATAATTTCATTTCTGTGGTGATTTGCATAGCTTGTGGTACAATGCCAGAAAGACTAACGGAAATGCTTATGGATACATGGACTCCATTAATAATATTATGGATTACTGTCCTTCCTTCCATTTATATGGCTCCGATGAATCAATCTCAAGTACTACCAAGTGGATCCAGTACAGGACTAAAAAGGCTAATGGAAGAACAAAGAGTTTTGAACCGTTCCAAGAGAGGCTGGGTTTGGAATCAAATGTTTGTATTAGAAGAATTTTCTGGACCTGAACCAATACTAGTTGGACGGGTAAGGCAAGATCTGTTATGTTTGGTTTTTTTTCTCTGACTATATGAATGTGAAGGTCTTCAGTCATTTGGACTCTTCTGAGTAATTCAAGTTTGAGGTGCTCTGTTTTTCTGAAATTCTTCTCTAATCTCCATACATTTGTGCTTTAAATGTACCTCATTTAAAAAATATGATTTCCTGGTTAGCTAACCTGCTGCTTACAACAAAATTATACATATTCTATTTGACAAAAATACACAAGCATGTTTGAACTAGATAATCTCCAAGGTCCCTTTTAACCCAAACCGTTCTATGATTCTGGGAAAATTATTGGAACAGATTTTGTAATTTAATTTCAAAGTTAGGAAGAGAACACAAGGAAAACTACCATGTTTTTCTGTGTGTCTTAGCTTGTCTGCTGCCTTAGACCTTTGATTATTGCCATGCATTAGCTTATTCTGTAGCTTGGTGTATTACCTCCAGTCAGTGAATCAGCCTTGTACTTTCTCTGAAGAGATCATGGTCCATCTGCATTCATCAGGAGTGAATTATTTTTAGAAACTGTTTATCTCTTCCTAAATGTATGTTTGGCCTATAGTGAGCAATTATAAATACCTTGATTGTTTATCACTGAAGTTCAGTTCCCTTTGAGTAACCTCGTACGTTACTGTCATAATACCTGGCTACTGAAATTGAGTAAAAAAACTAGAGAACAGAGTTATGGATATCAGTTAATTTCATTATAATTTTAGAAATTATTTGGGTAAATGAATAGCATATAGTATAATATAGGGGCTGTTAACAGCTGTATCTTATTTTTGAAGAGAACACAATTCAAATTTTCTCTAGTAAATCCACTTTCCAGTCAAAACATAAGGTCAGAACATGTAATGAGCTTTATATCCAGTGACTTTTGAGCGCTATGTTAATTTACATTTATATCAGGTATATCTGTTCTCATTTGGTTTTTTTGTGTTTAGTGACATATCTCAGTTTCAGAGAGACCATTATGCTTATTTAAGATCTCAAAATATTTTATCCAGCCCAATCTTTTTCAAATATTTTGGTCAAGCTTTTAAAGTTATTTTGAGTTGCTTTTGAGTATCTGGGAAGAATCCCAAGTTTGTACTTTGTAGTACTTTGATTTTCGGGGTGTATCCAAGTCTTAATATTTCTACAATGTTAGGGTTTTTTTGGTGGATATAATATCTTGAATTGTTCAAGTCATTAGTGAATAGAAGTGAGTGGGTTAAACTAAGCCAAACCAATAAAGACATTATCCCATCTTCTGCTGGCATTTTGAATAGAATTAGCTAGTCTAAAATGCTGTGACGATCTATTTGTTGTGACTGCTGCATAATTAAAACACTGCATGATATATATGAAAACGAGCAGAAAGTGAAATTTGCTCCCATAGGGAGATATCTGTGGTTTATTCATGAAAATGGCTTAAAATATTCTTGTAATTCTTGTCAGTATTTTTTCACTAGAAAAATAATCTGTACTTCTGACTTATTTTTCTTTCCTAAGGTTTATGAGTACTATGGGCACTTTTCAAACTCTGCTGTAGTCAGTGGGAACAGAGGTACTCCACACCTTTGAGAGTTGCTCTTAATCCTTCCTGACTATAAACCAGCAACTCCCTCAGTCGTAGTTCTTTGCGATCCTTCTTCCCAAAACTTAAAGATGTACAGAATGTCACAGGCAAAATGCTCTCCTTCTCCATGAAGTTGGGCTATGGTTTGTCCTCTGTCACCCTCACTGGTTTCTTATCCATTCCAGTTTTAAAATAACCTCCTTTCCAGAGCTCACAGTAGTTTTGCACTTAACCTAGTTCTTCCTCATCTCTTTTCTACTTAAAGTCTTCCTCCAACCTTGCAGTTTCGCCCCCTGCCAAAGGATTTGCACACTTGGGGTATCTCCTTCGTTCTGTGACTTTCTTTATCAATTATTTTTCTGCCTTATGACTCATCTTTATTTTTTTTTTTTTTTTTGCTAGACTTCGAATGAAGGGCACTGTAAAATAGTGAATTAATGTAGAGAGGCTTAATGGTGTGGAGAGAATGATTCCAACCACGTATGCCACCTATTTGCTGCATTTTTTGGACATAGATGTACTTTTGTGCTGTTGTAGAGGCAGTGTCCTTTCTATGTGCTTTTTACATGTTCAAAGTACTAGTATAATCTCCAAACAAATTTATTATTTGACACTTAATTGCTTCAAAGTGAACATCATTAAAGCCAATCTAATTATGTAGGGTTTGTTTGCAGTTTTTGTCTCTTTCTATACTACTGTGGTAGAGTGTATGTGGTACTTTTCGTAGTCGTATATGATTTGTACAAACATGTAATTAGGTGCTCTAGATAGTAAACACAAAAATAAATTTTTGCACAAATAGAAGTAGTATACACACAAGCAGAATTTTGATGTATGTTCTCAAATATACCTTTAAAACCCACTGAGAATTCAGCTCTTAAGAACTGCTCAGAATAATACTGATACTTAAATGTTTCCATGAGTGGAAAGGCTCCAAGTAGAAGCATTTGAAGCATCTAGTGGGATTAAAACATATCAGCACAATAAAACTGAAAATTGAGATTATTGATAATAAATATAAACAGAATACAAATAACTTTCTAAACAAAAGCCTGAATATACAGCCTATGGATTCATTATGTTAGTTAAAAAGATCTCATTCCCAAGTTTCTGAAGTACAGAGAAAGTTTAGCAAGACAGGATTTGCAGAGTTAGGTAATATCTTCTATTAGGCTGCAGTTTTTCCAGGAGAAACAGCTTCTAGGCAAAAAGACCCTTCTTCAGAATTTTAAGTGTTGTAATATAACTGTACACTCTTCAAAGATACTTATTCATTGCTGTTCTGCATGAATATATATTAATAAATGAATTTCCAATGTATTTGCTCTAATAAATGAAAGAATCTGGGGTGAGACTCATAGGAGGATTTAACGTGACTTCTTTCCTAAAGCACCGTGGTTTTCTTCAATGACTCGAGTAAAGCACAGGAGAAAATCTTTTGCTTTTGTTCTTGAACTTCTTACAATGAGTTTGAACAACATGCACTTTTAATATCAATTTTTGTCATTATATTCACGAGGATCAAGCTCAAAGTTAAAATAAGCAGCTCTACTTGTGTTCACACGTGAAAATGTGTGCGAATGCTGATCTCTTAGGGTTATTTCTGATTTTCTGAGATTTCTCTATAAAATGCTACAAACATTCTAGAGGTTTTTTTGTCTGTATTAATATTGCTTTTGTTTTGACATGTAATGTTGTAATAAATTCCGTATTTTTTGATCTGTACATGTAGAAGTGTATATATGCATTTTGGGAAACCTACAACGTCACCTTTTTCATGTTTGTGTGACATACTTCAAATGAGTTTGGTTTTGTTCACAGCAACACAATACAGAAAGATAGATTTACAAATACCCTTTCATACTACATTTTTTTTTTCTCCATCCATAGAAACAGGCCCAGTAGCTTTGTAAAGTACATACCTGCTTTAGAAGACTCCATATACCGCATATTGCTGTCAGCAGTTTGCAGGCTTCCCAGTGGCTGACAACCTCATTCAAGTGCAGAGTGATATGTCTTGTGACACTGCGTGCTGTCCCTGTGGACTTGATTAGTTAGATAGAACTTTTACTTGATATACGCTGCTGCGTTTTCTCAGTCTCCTCTCTATGCGTTTACGGCACCGTGGCAGATGTGCTGTGAAATCTGTGGTGTAGCAAATGCTACTGTTCTTTCACAGGAGGCTGCCGCCGAATTCACAATGAAATAGGTAATAGAGTTAAAAAGCATTAGGAAACTGGGTTTTGGGTGTATAATCGAAGCTCCCGGTTTATGGAACATGTGCTATTTGTGATGTTTTAGATGGGATAGGATCTGGTTTAATATACATATTTAAGAAAAAGTCTGGGATACTTAATGTGTTAACAGTTATCATTTCTAAGTACGATGTATGGAGAGAACAAAAGAGGGAATGAAGATGACAGTAATGTTTTGGTTTGGGTTTGGTTTAGATATATATATTTGATGATTTACTACTGAATGAATCACCAGTTAGGTCCAGACACAAAAAACCCCACTAATGGTCAGTGGTGTTCCTGTCGTGGTTTGAACCCAGTTAGATATTTTGCGCACAGTCTCTGTGATGAGAGAGATGTAAAATGAGCAGGCCAGGGAAGATGAGCACCTGTGTCCCATGCACAGCTGCTGTGACACTGCTGTGGCACGTGGTAGGTCAAAGAGCTGTGCTAGCTCTTGAGAAGTGGCTCTGAAAAGCCTGGACAAGGGAGGAAACCAACCAGGCTGAGTTACTGAGACTCAGAACACGGCCAGGTCAACTCTCCAGTGCAGTGGAGTCTCGGGTAGACAGTTTATCTGTGACCGTGGAGTTTTGCTTCCTTGCTTCTGGCTTACATGGTAGATGTCTTTTCACTCTGTTAAGTACGGGGGCGTTTGTGTGGCTTGTAGGATGAGGGAGCTGGGCAACTTTTGGAGATTTTCCCCTTGATGTAGGGGGCTGCGGTTCAGGCCTTGAGAGGAGTAATAATTTTCCTGTAGGAGGAGCAGTAGAGAGGCATCATGTTTTCACAGTTAAGTGCTTCAGGCTGCGGTACTGTAAAAAACGAACCTGGAAATGCAGAGAGGACATATAAATAGCTTCAAGCTGTATGTTCTACATTATACATGCTTTATGCAATCTTTGATTTCAGTGCCAACGTACATTTTATCTCTTAACAAGGAAATGGTAAAATCTTACTTGTTTAAAATTATAAATAGTTCTGTTGAAGTACAAGTGATACATCTATGCAAAGTAAACAAGCTTTTATTAAACAAGTTCATGCCATATGTTTTCCTCTTTATTGCTGCATTGAGCTTCTGATTATAATGGCTGCCTGAAAATACTGGTGTACTTAAGTGATACAAACCAGAAGTATATGTAACCAAGGCCCTCGTTACTTTAGAGAGTAATTACATGCTGTTTCCCTGA